TTTGCAGAGCCCATCAGGTAGGCAAATTTATCTACGTATATGGATTTCTCAACTTATAATGTGACATTCAAAATTGCTGATTTTGTTTCTAAGAAAGATTTCAGATAGGTCTAAAATGTGTCACATTATGTAGAGCTTCACTCTATCCTGCTGTGGCTGTTCTTTGCCATGTCAGTTTTAAAGAGACGAGCGAGAAGTGTTTGTTTTTTTTTCTTCACCCGTGCGCTTTGATAACTGGTGTCAATTGGTTTCAATCGATGAACGACTGATGCGCGCTTTGTATCAAGAAAATGGACCTAATCTATTCTTACAGCTGGATGACTCTCTATTAGAGGAGCCATTCAGAGCTAGCGGAAGAGGGGTTTAATTCAGGATTTCATTTTTTGGAGATTTTATTTTGAATCTCTTTCACACCTTTTGCTTCATTGGATTATGGCAAGATGCGGTCAGATAGACGTTAATTATTTTGATTGCTCTTAGATGCATTAGTATCACGCACCTCATCTTCGTTAATGCACTTTTACGCTGATTTGCATCAAAATTCAATTCTCGTAATAAGGGAAGCGGCTATTTAGTAATTTTTAATTTTTAATTAGTAGTTTTTTTGGAAGTAGACTTCCTTAGAAATTGTTTTTTTTTATAAGTTGTTTTGGAAAATGGAGTGCATGCAACAGACCGTTTGAAGCGAGACAAGTGTCATTCAAAGAAAAGTTCATTAGTGATTATAAACATATCGAGAAATTTCAGGTTGTGGAGGACGGGTATGAATTTTTCGCAAAACGTCAACTAGTCACTCTGTTCTCAGCGCCTAACTACTGTGGCGAATTTGATAATGCCGGTTCAATGATGACTGTGGATGAAACACTTATGTGTTCATTCCAGGTTTGTAAAAATTCAGATTTGTGCAGCTTCAGTATCAGTTGGTTCAGTTTTCCTTTACTTGGGTTTTGCAAATTAATATGTTAAGTTCCTTTGTGCCAAAGGGGCCGTGGGCAATTGATGTTGAGGTTATGTTAGTATGTTTTGGCTCACAAAATGTTACTGTATAATACAAACTTACTAGCGTATTTTTTCCCAGTTTTCTGGTTTCTCTTCAAATTTGTTAGTTAGAACTGAGTATTGAAAGTTGAAGGCAAGACTAGT